TCAGGTTCTTGGCGAGAAGGAAAGCGAGGTGGTCATCAAGGAGCTGAGGATTGTGACCGATTGCACCGAATTGCAAAAGCTAGAAAGGGACGCGGCTGCTGGATCATCCTCGCCCGCTTCCGCCATGTTTCCCCTTTACACTGCGAAATTTTCATTTTCGCCTCAGTGGAGGCATATTCTGTTCGTAACGTTTCCCAGGGAGTTGGTGATCTTTGACTTGCAGTATGAGGCGGCGCTTTCTAGTACCTCATTGCCTCGTGGGTGTGGTAAATTCCTTGATGTGTTACCGGATCCGAACTGTGAGTTGCTCTACTGTGCTCACATGGATGGAAGGCTCAGTGCCTGGCAGCGAAAAGAGTAAGTTCTTTTGTTATTATTATGGTCATGTTTGATTGCCTACCCGTTAACTAAAGATTCATGAAAACTTATCCCCCTCTAATTGTTCCTTGTGAAATTTCTAAATGTATGAGCAAGTTCTGAAAGATCTAACAGCTATCCTGGATAGCTGTCAAAGATACTTAAATTGTGAACATTTACAAAATTAACTGCATTATTGCGACTGTAATGAGATTGTTTATCATATATATGAAAATGTGACCATTAATGAAATATTTGTTTCATACCAAAAAAAAAAAATGTATGAAAATGTGAACTTAAATGGAAGGTCAGGTCGTGGTGGGGGTGGGGGAGGGGACTGGACTATGAAAAGTTGCATGAATGGACTTGTTACCACTTGTATGTTCTCAACGGTTGAGAAAGTTTTAGGTTAATTCAGACCTGTGTATGCATTCATATCTATTTAACTTTACTTTGTTTAACCAAAAAAAACCCTTTACTTCGTAAATTTATTAAGGTCTATATTGAATTATGAGTGCAGACCGCTGGAACATGCTCCCAGTTATTCTAAAATTTTAGTGCCTATGCCTATGTTCTTTCTAGCCTAGATATAAATCATAACTTTGTGCATGCGAAGATAGGAAGCATCTGACTTACAGGCTTGCATACTTGGATTTTCTGGTGTATACAATTCTCTGCTTCCAACAATAGTAATAGACATGAATATTTCACTTATTTTCTGACTTCTTAGGAGACAAACTTATATTTTTATACTTACAGCGGCGAACAAGTCCACATAATGTCTGCAATGGAAGAGTTGCTGCCTTCAATTGGCACATCTGTTCCATCTCCTTCACTTCTTGCTGTCATCATCTACCCGTCCGATTCCATCCTCCAAAATGTTGGCAAGCTTTGTTCTGATGTACCTCATTCTCATTCTCCTGATGCAGATGCAGATGATGCAGATATTGATACTCCATTTGATTTTTATGATGAATCTCTTCATGTCCCTTCAACACACTTGATATCCATCTCTGATGATGGAAAAGTATGGAACTGGCTCTTAACTTCCGAAGGTGCTGAAGAAACCCAGAAGGATGACTCAGGTGCGAGTATGAGCACTGATGTCAATGAAGTGCCAGCCTCAGACAGCAACACTGACCACTCGGTTTCTTTTAGTAATGCACTTACTTCAGAAACAGGCAAGCAACCAGATCATGTAAATACTTCTGGCGGACGTCCACCTTATGACCTCAATAAAGTGGATTTGTCATTTAAGGTTTGTCTGTGTATCTAGCATTCCTCAATCTCAATTTGTGTTAGTCAATGCTCTACGTTTCAGTTCAAAGTTGCAATAATTTTATTATTAAAATAAATTAAATTTCTTTGGCATTAATGAAGAAAATCAAAGTTGCAAAAGATTTTAAGTATGCCAAAGATGTTTTTCAATTTCTTACCTTCATAGCTCCAGAGATGATAATATTATTGGTAAATTGTATATAGTTGAGGTTAACCATACTGCTCCCCACATCAACACTTTTGAGCACAGTAACTGGATASCTTTCTCAAGGAACCTACTAAGCACGTTCATAATCAAAACAAAGAGTAAGGAAGAAAAATGATCTGCTAAGATAAGACCATTAGTCTCAGATATTATCCCTATTGGTTTACCATTAATGAATACCAAAAATCTAATGTATGAGAGACATACACCATTCCTTCAAGTATGGCCCAGACCTTTTTTCTCCATAATCACGTGAAGGATATCCCATTCAACTATATATATTATATCTCTTCTCAAGACTGACTTTAAGGTTCCAATCCTTGGTTCTGAAAGCTTGAAACTTATCCACAATCTCATTAGTGATAATAATGGAGTAAGTGATCTTGATAAATGCAAGCAGGAACATAGAAAGAGTGCTAGGAATAAACCTTTGAAATGAATCAGCCAACACTTACCAATGGCCTTGTTTAACCTTAGAAGCCTTAACTTGCTTCCATATTAGGTGGATGAAAATGTTCTTTAAAGACAAATTCAAATGCCTACTCAATAAAATCTTGGAAAACTACAAGATCAAATTTGATGATATGTTCTAACTTCCAACACATTCTTAGAATTCCAAAGGAAAAGTTGTCCGAACTTGGCACTTTCCAAGAAACCAAGTTTTTACCACGGTGGAGGTATCTTTCTCATCATAAGGTCTCTCCAGTCTTCTTTAGTTATTAGGTTCCACTAGAGACCTCCAATGGTTGCCTTATGCCCTTGTGACTTTTGTGTGAAGCGTCTGGAAAAAAGTTGACTACTCTAGTTTCAATAGCTTGCTCTATTAAGACTAACCTCTTCTTTGAAGCTCAGAAATGAGCGGTCTCTTCCTCCTTTAATTTGCAATTTTTAGGGGTATAAGGTTGAGGAGATGTGACATATTGTACTTAATATTATTACTAGACTGAGAGCGTTGCTTACTGAAAAGTTTATTATCATAGATCCTAATTTTGTTCTAATTGCATGAACTTTGTTTTTTCAGATGTTTCATGTGGCTTATCGTATATATAGTGCTGAATTAAGCTAGAAGTCATAAAATCTAGTTTTTGCTCTTAATAGTGGCACTGTGGTAATATTATTATTAGTTTTGTTCTTCCGTCAATAGTACACCAATGAACTAAATTAAAGTGTAAATCTAGCATAATTGTTTTATTTAGTGCTTTTTTTTTATGTACATGATTGGTCCTGCTATTGCCTCTTAAAATACAATTAGGAAATATGTACCTTCTTACTGTTAAATCATTGATGCAGATCAGCTTGGTTGGTCAGCTTCAGCTTCTTTCTTCTGCAGTAACGATGCTGGCAGTGCCATCTCCATCCTTAATAGCTACTTTAGCTCGTAAGTTTCATGAATAAGCTCATGTACACACATATACATGTTACCTATATATTTCTTCAGAGTTAGAGACCATTTTTTATGTGACTTGAGGTGGTTCAAATGAATGAGCTGAATATTTTTAGTTCTAAAAAATTCATTAGCCTGGTGTTCTGATGTAAGGTGGAGGAAACCATCCTGCTGTTGCTGTTCCATTGGTTGCTTTAGGGACTCAAAGTGGAACAATTGATGTCATTGATGTTTCTGCCAATTCTGTTGCATCTTCCTTTTCTGTACATAATAGTGTTGTTAGAGGTTTACGGTGGCTTGGGAATTCCAGATTGGTGTCGTTTTCTTACAGTCAGGTATATACTTAAGCATTTTGCTAATAGTTTATGAGTTTTAATCTGTTCCTTTTAAAATTTATGAAGCAACTCATTTTAAGTTCAATATTCTGCTTGTGTACGTATTATATACAGTCTATTTAAAGTACATTGGGTTAGTAGTAACCTTGTTTGATTAACATATTCCTCTTTATGTTTTTTTTTTAATTCTTGCAATGAAAGTCAATAGTAACATGCACTAGCAATCATGTGGACTCAGGTGAATGAAAAAACTGGAGGTTTCGTTAACCGTCTTGTTGTGACCTGTCTAAGAAGTGGCTATAATAAAACCTTCCGTGTTTTGCAAAAGCCAGAGCGTGCTCCCATCAGAGCTTTAAGAGCCTCTTCATCTGGAAGGTTGACCTTGAACTCAGCTTTCTGCTTGTTATTTTTCATATAATGTATTTTCTTCCACTACTTTCTTCGTTTCTGGAATTGTGGGGCAAGATACATTTGCTTCTACGTGAACTTTCCATCATAGATCCTCTCAATGAATTAATATCTTGATAGTGTTATGTAGATTAGTTGTGATATATGTGAATTAATCGTTAAAATATAGCATTTTCATGGGATGTAAACTCTATTGAACTATTGTTCGGGTGTTCATATTGTTGGAACGACGATATATTTCCCCCGCAGCTGCATTTTTTTGCTTGAAATTTATGCATTGTTGCTTCTTGCAGCTATCTTCCAGTAATAAACATTTTTTTTCTTTTTATGCGAATTAATTCTAGGTACCTTCTTATCCTGTTTCGAGATGCTCCTGTCGAAGTATGGGCAATGACAAAGACTCCTATCATGGTAAGTTGGCACACACAAATACTATTGATTTTCATTTTTGTTTCATATTTTTTACTATTAATACTAATCTTACATTGTGATGTTGACCGAAGAGTGAACTTTTTAATATTCATACACTTGAAAAAAAACCATGACTACTTTCTAATAATCCTACCGTTTTATCAAGCAATTGGATAGTTTTTTGTAACCTTGAAAATGACTTATCTTTTTTTTTTTTTTTATTGATGAGAAACAAGATATTTGATTGATAAGATGAAATTAGAAAAAAAGGGGAGAGCCTGAGGAAGAACTAAGGAGGGACTATAAGAAACCCCTCCAACTCATTAAAACGTCATTTAAGCCATATAATAATTTGTGAAGGGAGAGAAAGGGTTTTTTTTATCCCTTGGGTGGGGAGATGACTTATCTTCTCTTACGTGTAACTTTTTTATTTGAATGAGTTCTTTCTTATCAGTTTTGAATTTAAAAAAAAAAACCATTGTTCTGCAATTTCAAAGCCTTCACTTCTTTGCACCAGGACACCTATTTTCTTAACGAGTTAGAAATATGATTAGTGTCATCTTTCAGGCATCGACCTAGCAGTAGAAGGAATTTCTTGTATTCAGTATATAAATCTTTGTTGTGCTTTCTGTTTATTTTTGTTTGAATGAATTCTTTCTTATCAGTTATGGATTTAAAAAAATACCATTGTTCGGCAATTCAGCGCCTTTACTTCTTTGAACCAGGACTCCTATTTTAATGTTTCTTAATGAGCTAGAAACATGATCAGCGTCATATTGCAGGCATTGCCCCCTAGCAGTAGAAGGAATTTCTTGTCCTCGGTCTATAAATTTTTTTTAACAAGATACGAACTTTTCGTTGAAACGATGAATAGGAACAAAATTGTTCAAAAGATACAAACTCCCTAGGGAATGACGAGTAAAGACAGTAAAGGACAAACAATAAATTTTTGTTGTGCTTTCTGTTGATTTTTCATGCGTTATCTACATGAATTGCAAGAAAAGTTAATGTTTTTCATATCTATATTCTGTTGCACAAAATTTAAGAATAGTTATGGTTACTTTAACAAAAGGAATGTCTTGGTTAACTGAATATTCTACTCTCCGTCTGAAATATAATAATCATTTTGCTAAGATCTTTAAATGCACGATGCRCCTACTCATGATATTTTCTATCTCCATGTAGCTTAGATCATTAGCTCTTCCATTTACTGTTTTGGAATGGACACTTCCAACAGTCCCACGACCTATTAAAGATCGTACAGCCATCACACAAGATGGCGCATCTTCACCAACTACGGCATCATTATCTGATTCTAGTAAGCTCGTTGTTTACATTATAATTTGCAATTGCTTCATCATTAAAAGATTGAATTGCTTCTTCACCAACTACTTCACATAATTAGGCTTCTGGATGGCATCACTTGCATTATTTATGTAAAACTTGGACTTCTGCATGCACTAAGTGAAACTACTTTTCACATCCAGAGGCACCAAACTCAGAAGKCAATCAAGATGAAACTTCTGAAAGTTTTGCTTTTGCACTGGTAAATGGCGCACTTGGTGTGTTTGAAGTTCATGGGCGAAGAATTCGGGACTTCAGGTTTAGTTCCTTTCCTTCTCAATATCATGGAGTATCAAGTATGCCATGATGTTTCTTTTTTCCACCTCAATTTCCATCTAAGGTGGCAATTTCAAATGCTAGTTTTTTGACTCGTGCATTGCATGTGATTAATGATCTAATTTATAAATAGTTAGAAATCTAGGTCGTGAAAAGTACTTAGATTTCATATGTTTAGAATATTGTGCAAGTTTCAAATTCAAATGCCAAATTTGATCAAAATTGTATCATGTGAGAATTCGTTGTTTATATAATTTTTTGATAAAAATAAATCACAAAAAGATTAACGCACAATGTTATGTCAACTAAATATCTAAATCTGTAGATTGATTTGAAAATAGTGTTCCTCAAGTCAAGGACTTGGGTGGAAATTAAGAACATTTATTCAATTACCTACAGTCAAATCTTAATCACTGATATGGAGTTTTCTGACAACATTCATTGTCGTTTGTATATCATGAACTGTGAGGTCTGTCTCTTAAAATTTAGGTTTCCTAATTCTTATTTAATGAATTGTTTCTCATCCAAATGATAAGAATCTCATAAAGATTTCGCCTTACATGCCTCTAGACCCAAATGGCCTTCGTCTTCATTTGTTTCATCTGATGGATTAATTACAGCCATGGCTTACCGCTTGCCACATGTGGTATGTTTCACTTAGAAGCTGATATAAAATTTTGATTTTTCAGTCGTTTTGGCTCAATGGCTTGTTCACTCTGACTTGGGAAATTTTCAGGTCATGGGTGATAGATCAGGTAACATTCGCTGGTGGGATGTAACAACTGGGCATTCTTCATCTTTTAACACACACAGAGAAGGAATCAGGCGAATCAAATTTTCCCCTGTAGTTCCCGGAGACCACAGCAGAGGACGTATAGCTGTTCTATTTTATGATAACACATTTTCTATATTTGATCTTGTAAGTTTTATAAATTTATTTTAAAATTGCTATTTGATTTTGCAAATATAAATCTAAACAATTTATTATTTTCATTATATTTCTRGTTCTTGCACTTCATGATCTTTATATTATTTGTTTGGTAGCAAAGAAGAAACTTGACAGGTTGTTAATATTAGGCCATTGAACATATAGATAAAGTTCTGTTATCTTTGCTGCTTTTGTAATTCTGAAGATTATGAACTTTTAGCACTTCCAAATTAGTGGGGTCTTTCCTCTTGCTCATTCAACACATTCGAATCATTTAACAATTGTCTTGATTAGGTAGGTCAAATCTATCTAGAATTCTGATTCTGTTGAATGTTAGGTACGTGGAATTGTTTGTATGCTTCTCCAAGAGTGTGTCATACAATGGCTAATTTGGAGGAATTTTATGTTATTGATTATAAATCCAAATATACTTTTTGCTGGCAGGATTCACAGGATCCCTTGGCTAATTCCATTTTACAACATCAATTTCCAGGGACCCTTGTATTGGAACTTGATTGGTTGCCTCTACGAACAGAGAGAAATGATCCTCTAGTTTTATGCATTGCTGGAGCTGATAGTAGCTTTCGTCTTGTTGATATCATAATGTAACTACTGGAGTTCCTTTTGAATCTTTGAGAATTTGTTGTTAGTAATTTGCATACATGATTTTGTTTAAAAATCAGTGTTCTATTTGCTCGTC